CGACTGACAGCTGAGATCCTTGAGACTTTCCTTTTTACTTACAGGGTAACTCCAACTCCGCAGGTGCTGCAAGGGAAATTTCCGGCTGAAGCACTGATGCAACGGAATTTGCGATCCAGCCTCGATTTGCTTAAAGCATCTGACAGAATCAGCCTGAACCGAAACTGCGAAATGGAACCGCAGTTCAACAGGAGACCCGGGGCTCAGTACCGAGTTTTCTTCAAAGGGCAACCTGCGCTGGCGACAGAATGTACAGCGTTCCTGCTCGAAGATGATTCGCTTGTCTCATGCTCGTGACCTTGCCAATTTTCCAAATTTACAGCTTCGGTATCATTTTTAGGTCTGTATAAACCAATGAAATCGTCTCCTATTTACCTCGTTTTGACTTTCCGCAAGCGAGTGTTCTTTATTGACTTCTTTTGACTTCTGTTGTGGGTAGAAGGTTTGGGCTTTGAGGTCAGCCTGTTCGCGATTCCTAGATGGTCACAACACATCGGAAAACCCTTGTTCGGTCTCTGAATACTCAACTAGGTCTCTCTATACATCTGCCTGCTCGTGACATCGGAATCAATTATTCCCCCTCACTTCTGACTTTCTGAGCCAGTCGAATTTCAGATAGCGCAAACTACACAAGCATTGGCTGGTGTATCCAACAGCATCCTTATATAACAGGACGTAGTGATCTAATCGAAATCCCAACTCACTGCATTTTCGAATATTATACGATTGCCTATGAAAACATTGGGCTTAGTTGCAATACAGTTGTTGTACATTTATAGAGATTATTTACTAGACACGATTCGGTACAAATTTTATCCAAAGCTATCCAGAGCAGAGTTTCATGGGCCTTTACTATTCAACTCATCTAAAGACGTGTTTACATGTACCCAATTTTGCACTGCAACTCAGTTCGACTCGGGATCTTCATTCCGATGAGTATACAATAGATGTGCAAATATGCTGTCCTGTGGAAATGAACCACCGATCATGATCAAATCTTGCAAAGACACAACTGTCTTCCTTAATTAACTCGTAAGTTATCTTGCCCTGCGCGCGGTTTTGTTTGCATTCAAAGATGGAAAATCGCTTGATGAAAGAGGACCAAAAATTTCTACCATGTGGAGGCCGAATATGTGCACAACACGTAAGCACCCTTGGCTTCCGGTGGGACTCTTCGGATAGTCCCAGGAAAGGCGGATATTATGCGTACTAGGCAAATGAGAAAGAACTAACTTAACGTTGCAAATCCTTCAGTAACAAGCCGTCTGTTAGTTGACGAGACGCCAATATGGGCGAAGGACTAACTCTTTCATGTGGACGCTTATACATTCTTCTCCATGTACCACGTAAAATTACAGTTGCCTTCTAAAGCGTCACTAGCTTCCCATCGCACAGGCGTGTTGAACCGACCGAACACACGCAACGCACCCGCAGTTCCAGCTTCGCTTGCCGCATCTTAGCCAAAGATGCTCAACCGCACGTGCATTACTTATGCAGGAGCATGATCACACCAGTGCAATTACGTGCGCATTTTCTCGCAGTTCTGCTCTCTCTTTCTGTTCAACCAGCGCAAATAAATACAAGCTCGGGCTTGGAGGAGAGTACTGCAAACGAGCGAGCAACACAGCACGCGTTCGTCTGCTCTAAACGCGATCCCAGTGACCGAATGGACCCAGCTTCACTTCGATGTGCACTGCGTTCCTGATTGCGATTGCATTCCACGATTCATGCACATACAGCGACGAATGCCTCAAAATGACCCCTTTAACCGTTGTGACAAGTGTTACCCGCCGCCACTCGGTGGCTTACGAGTAGAGGTTTCGACTGACATCCAAGTGGTCCTAGGTTCGAGTCGCAGTGCTGCCTGATGAGTGCATTTTCGAATCCGACCGTGAAGTACAGTGTGTTGCGGCCGACCAGTACGAGGGCAAATGACCGGCCCAAATTATGTACGCGGGTACTATTGCTATTCTTCGATTGCAGCTCCGTCATAATCCTTTTTATTACAAGAACCGAAGCTTCGAATGGAGTTATTTACTGTCACAAGTATAATTTTACACCTTCATCTATTGTGGCAACCAATCGTTTGACTCATTTTGAACTCTCACTTGCAGGTTGTATGGCGCGCGGTACTTCTGCATCTCTTCTTAGTGCACATATATCTGCGGCTTCCAAGCGTTCTTCTGTTTGCGCGTTGGTATGAGTTTCTGTTTGCCCATTACCGTCTGGCTTTCTCGTACCTCTTTACTACTGACAGTCACTTTTTTCCACCACAGTATGATGGCATCTGTCTATCAATCCGGCCCTACAGAGTGCTTCTTACGTAACCAGCACAACAACATTGTCTTATCCCGCCCCATACTCGGAGTGCTGCAGTCCCGTCGACGGGACTGCGAATTCCATCTGCTCCCTCGAAACTCCCTGGTTGTGCTAGTCCTTCGGACGATCATTAGAATACTTCTGTGGTCTTCGTACCTGGTCATTGATTATTGTTCATGTGCTCTCTTTATTCATTCTCGTTTTCCCTTTTTCCGACACAAATTATCCTTCTTCATAAGCTGCTCTACCGTTCTCATGATAGATGTCCTCTAATTTCATTTATCAATGTCTCTACTGTTATTACTTTTCAGGTAGACCCACTCAAGTACAAATTCAGGATGAAGCGAATGCTGCACTTCAGAGCCAACTGGAGGAACAGAAGGCGCAGGAGATGGAACAGTTGGAGTCGGACATTATCCAAGTGAACGAACTGTTCACCACTCTGGCCACGTATGTCCATGAGCAAGGCACGTTGGTCGACTCCATCGGAGACAACATCGAGGTCGCTTACGAAAAGGTAACAACTACGTTTCCTCTATTCATGGTTTTGAATTTACACCACCTCAAATCGGTTTGCTAACCGGGATCCCGATGCACGTAGGTGCGGTGGATGCACCTGTCCCTAATCTAATTTCCGAAATCACATACTAATAATCAGTCGGCGAGAATGGACAGTAAATTCCATCTCCATCTGCAGTGATCAGTTGCGCGTAGTAGGTGAATTTCTTTGGTTTTGTTGAAGTTACGTTGCAACTAAACTCATCCGGACAGCCACCACATATCTTGAAAAGCTAGGATGGCAATTTTGTCCTATTGGGACTCGTCAGTAGCGCACACTCACCAGATGTTTCCAGATTCGAACCCATAACCTTATTCTTAGAGACTTAGGCCACTGAGCCTTGAGTGACGACTAAGGACCACCATTACTGATTTTTAACTGTGACTTAGCGCGGCTCATCCTCCACTGGCGTGCATGTGAGGCAACAGTCTCACTGACATGCGGACCATGTAATCGAAGTGTCCGAAACAGTTCAGCATTGAGGAGCATACGATTTACCTACTCCATCTTTGCTTGTTCATCCGATGCGTGTGGACTGGCGTCTCTTTGAAGCCGAAGCCAACCCGGATCTAGCTGCCTGTTCACTGTTTAGGAAACGCTTGTCATTTGCTCATCCTCGGATAGAGCTCCCTGAAAAACAAAATATTCTAACACGTTCTTCATCCAGATCATCACCAAGTGTTAGGCAAGTGGCCCACTGCCATGCGATTATAATAAACTTGGTACTAATGAATAGCGAAATGGAAATATGCGTTTATCGTAAAACCTAAACGTCAAATGGATACCCTCACTACCAAGGCGAGTACAGCTTGTCTGCAACACACGGTCACCAGCAGAGCTGGTTGCCGCGAGACGTTATCCTTTAAACTTTCATTATCCAACGTCTTAATCTGTCATTATCCCGGGTTAACTCAGCATCAACCACAACAGGCTGTCCGATTAAGAGACGACTGTAATTCACATGTGATCAGTCGCCATCATTTTTCCCCTGGCATCCCATCATTACCCCAATTCCCCTCGTTGATCTCACTCACTGAATGTCTCACGCATGTCCCCTAGCTACTTGTTTTACATGCCCCCCTTAGAGTTGGTACACCACCATCTGATTCATGCTCTGCTCTTCCGATCGCTTCCTTTTATTTGTTGCCTCCCACACACTGTCTTGACTACTGTCCGATCGCCGTATCGATCTTCGATTCACCTACCTTCTGATCGGGGACACACAACCCATTAACTGCCCTGTTTACTACAGGATTCCCCATCCTTCACTTCGCCACGCGTCCTTGCCCTTGAGGTCAGAACGGATCGGTGTTTGTAAGGTGGACATACCACCCATCCAGCCTGCATTTAACCTGATTTGATTGGACTAATATCTGTTGTTCTCATGATTGGCTCCTTTGTTAGTCGACCGGATGGGTGACCCGCAGAAATGGTAGGAAATGAGAAATGGGTCTGGTGCGCCAATCAGCTGAGGATGAATCACCCCAAGTCTCAAAGTCCTCCAGAACCGCCATCCCTACCATGGGACATTCTGCTAGACACGTTTGGCTTGGAAGACAAAGCTCAGTGGCTACATTGGATCACAGCAGAAGCTACAAGCACCGGATGACGCACAATACAGGCCGACACGAAAACGGAGACGACGACCGTGGATAGAAGTTGACCCCAAGGCGAAAAGCTATGAAAATCGTCAAGTTCGTACAGTACGCAAGCAGATTCAATTTGAAAAGGGAGCTTATCGGAGGCCGCAACCTGAGGACGTGACACGTTTTCAGAACACTATCCGGGCCGTCGGTAGATCATGCGTAAGATGACCCACTCAGTTCGCAATTCACGACGCGCGTTGCCGCGCAATCCAGAGCAGTTGACGAAGCCAGCTCACTATCGCCCCACGGGTTGCTATGGTGCGGACGTGCTCGTAGATACAGTCCAACAGTGAAGGGCTCTACCAAGCTTGAATCTGTCCAGATAAGAGATGTGAATCACCTCAGTGACAGACCGGCAAAACAGCAGCATGTGACTTATAAAATTATTCGTGTTCTATTCCTAATATTCTTCGGTCTAGCAGGCTCGGTGTTGTTTTGTTCCCGCTGAGTTGGCGTGGCAGAGAGCAGAGGCGAGGGCAGCGTTACATCGTTGTGCACGCCTAGTCCAGACAGACGACAAAGCTGGCTCAGTGATGACTTTAACACGCCAGATTGATGCCATAATGTTGCAACGGCTGACTGAGTGTATCTGTCTTTTGTTTGAGGACATAGTTGTAGTATGTCCTTATTGTGACATTCTGTTTATATAATTGCACCGTAGTCCAACGACTGTGGCTTTTCTCTTTACCGGTGGGGTTATCTCAGTTCCCGTCTTTGTACATTATTGTATCTTAGAAGCCGCAGATTGGTTGCCTACACGTTATCCAACTAACCTAAGCGCTTTTCACGCTTACAACGACAACCAATGCGCCGCTGATACCAGCTGCATGCTATGCCATGTAATATCTTGAGTTATGCCCAGAGCTGGTCACTTGGACTCCAACGTCGGATGCGAGACGGACCAACAGCACCCAGTTTGATCACCAGCGGCTACATTTCACACTATCAACTAAACTTTCACTACCTTTGAGCTTTGCGCCATAAATGATCCGGTGAGCTGAACGAAGCCATCCTCGATGAGCGGTGACCGAGCATGTGTAGCACGAACCGGAACCAACATTATTTGTTACTCTAAGGAACTAACCTGAGTATCACCCCCTATACTCACAGCGCACATTGTCTTTGCGAACAATCTGTTGCCACCCCATACCAGCAGTGCCCCGCGGGCAATGATGATCAATGACTTGAAAGTGCCCTAAGCCGTAGGGGTCAAGTCACACTCTTATGGTGTAGAACGGTTCCTTGAATAACACGCTGAAAGCCTACTTTTGACCCATCCTGGCATTCGATTGCCTTCAAGAAATGTAACTCGGTGAGTGCCAGAATCTTATTCTTCTTGTACCTTCGCCTCCTTCGATTTTCGTTTCTGCTCTTCCTAACTACAAATGCCTCAGTGATTATTAAGCGGTCAAACAGCTTCTGACTGGTGGTTTGTGTACTTCTCGCTGACTGGCTTGTCATGTGGCGAATTACCCACGCTGTTGGTTTCTCCGCAATTTTCCTGTTCCACAAACCTTTGAGGATAATCTGCATATCAATGCTTCGTCTACTGGTTCTGAAGCAGCAAGCTTGCTCCCACTGCGCACGGGGTGAAGTCTGCTCAGTTCATCGGGTACTGGAATTCCATCATTTCCTCCTCATTTGCTATCAGGCTCATAATTGTGCACGTGGAACACTAGCTGACTTTTGTGAATGTTTGTGAACCGATCCTTACAACTACCAGGTAACGGTTCATCACTGAACTTTCGAAAAACAAGCCATCCACTCTTGCTTGGATCGTCGTCGTTGGCGATGCAGTCACAGCACACACAACGATGAGTGCAACATCAACTCAAATGACCATGATGTTCTCGGTCGGCTGCGGTGGCCCTCGTGTAAATTTGAAAGCAATTTCGGCCGTTCCTCAAACATGCGCGAATTTGGTAGCTTTGCGGGCATTTCCAGTGGCTGTTTAACAAAAAATTTGGACCACCGTTTTGTCACATGTACCTCACTATTTTACGAGTTTATGGTGGTATACTGATTGCCAACTTCGGTGGTTCTGTTCACTTGATCTGCGATGTCGTCGGAATCCTTTAGGACAACTGACTTGGCTGCTGAAACTAAGGTCACTAACCACGGCACGTAATTGGCGCTCACGCCATATTTACTGCCCCATCGCAACGAGACTGGATCTTAACGTAATGCAACCGTTTGCGTACCTCCATGTACCATTGCGTTATACTGGGTGATGCCTCCGGGCACCATGAGAGCTACTCCTACCAGGTTGGTCAATGGTTAGAGGTCAGACAAACTCAGTCTCCTGGTCCTCCAGGTTGGGGGTTTGAAATGGGATGGCGCCCATTTTAGTCAAACTCAATCATTGCCATCTCCCCTCTGCCTGGTGGACAGGCTTTTGAGCCAAAGGCTTTGGATGAGGACCCTATTCGTCCTCCTGTCTAGGTCTGGGCGCCCTGGCAGTATCTCAGCCCACATAAAACCATGACATTTTCTTCAAACTTCATCCTGCATCGGCCGTCGTGCAGATTATCAAGGGTCGCCTTATCTGCTGCATACAGCAGGGCGGATAAGCGAAAACATGCTACTGCTGGCGCCTCACTTCTTTCTTTTCCACCTGTTTCTCTTACTCCTAACCTGACCCCCATTACTAACCTTTCTATAATTCCCAGGTTAATTGACAGCAGCCGAACTGCCACTGGAGTAGAACCATCTGCAGCCACCATCCCACAGCACCTATCGGAAGCCTATCGGCAACGGTCCCTTATTAGGCCACGCTATCCCGTTTCTCTGGCGGCGTTCAACGTTCGCACTCTAAGACGAATAGGTAAACAGGCTGCATTTGCGCACCTTGGACACACTGGGTATTGACGTGTGTTGTGCGTCCGAAACTAGGATCAATGACCCTAATGGGGTTGTTGAATTAACTGCACCCGGCTTATCCTCTCGTTATTGCTGGCACGCGTCTGGAGACCCTGATGCAGCAGTCACGGGTCAAGCTGGTGTCGGTATCATTCTAAGCTCCAAGGCTGAGTCATTGTTGGTTGATTGGACTCCGGTGAACAGCCGTTTCTGTGCAGCCCGTTTGACGACATCAGCTAAGGTTGATTCACGAAATAGTACAAAATGCTTTTTGTTTGAGATTTCTGCTTATGCTCCAACCGACTGCAGTTCTAATGCTATCAAGGACACATTCTGTCACGAACTGAACGCGTTACTACGCAGTGCTACTCGTTCAGGTAGTATAGTCCTTGCACGAGTAGGACGTATGAGCACTTCAGAAGCTCATTTGGGTGCTAATTATAGGCTTAACTC